AATCTCATTATGCGAAATACACTCATTCAATATCTCACCATATTAACAGTGCGGATAACACCATTCCATTCTAAATGGGAATGACATGTATTAATAATGTTTTAATTAAAGATTCCGAACTTTAATTAAATTCATTATGAACATTGATTTTTGATTATTATCCTTAAACATTATCCTCTCGTATATAACACTTATATACAATGTTTAAGGTTACATAAATAATCATGGAATTTTTATTGATATTCATAAAATATTCATAAATATATGCACATAAAATAATGAATAAACTCTTTTATTAAATAAATAATAAATATCCTATTACATCTCATGCTTCTAGGACACTATTCCCAACATTAAACCTCTCCCAGGAGATTCTAAGAGCGGTGCACAGTAGCTGAATATTTGCTACGGAGTAGCTGAGTTGTGATGCTATTGGAATTAAGTGAGGATCGTGATCATCCTCTGGAATAAATTGTAAGGAATTGAGAATTCTGTAAACTCTAGAATATTTAGATTAACTAGACTATGGTTGATGTCTGTTGTAATTTAATTTACATGTTCATGTATGTACAATGCCATATATCTTGTGGGTGGAGCCCTGTGTGTTGTCAGAGGCTTGGGATTCTGTAATTTATTTATATTTTAATGGAGTTAAGTGGGGCTCGTCTGGGAATCTACTTTATTAACCCCTAATCGAGCTCCACGTCACCCACCCCGTTTGGGGGACATGACACGTACATGTTTTTATTTTTGCTCTAATGCACTATGTTATTTGAAATAGTAAGGCTTGTTCGGGTGCACATTTGAGTTATGATTTAAATTGAGAATCTATTTGAGTTTGTGTTTCAGTATGTCAAAACTTGAGTTTATATTTAGATAGTATTTTAATAAAAACTCAATGTTGATGAAAAATTTTAATAGGGTATATGGGTGGGGTTTTATTCGTCTCTTCGTTGTGAACGTATAGAAAAAAAATCATCTCAATCGGAATTAAAACGAAAAAGTTATAACGTTTTTAAGAATTGGAAAAAATATTGTTCATTAACTTGAGTTTGAGTTTAAGAACTTGAGTTGAAGGAGAAACTTGAACTCAGATTTTAGCCACAAACTTAAGTTAAAACTCAAGTTTAAACTCAAATTTTACAAACGAACATGAACTTGAATAAAGTTGTAACTTGAGTTCAAATTTTTTTTGAGTTTTACTCCAAAGAACAAGCCCTAAAATCTAATCATTGAGCTTTGAGAGTTGTAAAAGTAAACTTTTAATTTTAAAATAATTTGAAAAGGTAAAAGTTATAATGATTAAATGAAAAGGTAACCATATTAACCAATAAGAATCAAGTGTCAAATTTTTCATATGTTATACTTGGTGGGAAATTTATAATAAGGTATAGCATATGGTAAATTTGACAAAACAAATAACATTACATAGGAGAGTGTTTTTTGTACTCAAATGATAAATTTACAAATGGTACATCAATTATAAAATTGTATTAGAAATGCTCTAAACATATAAACTAATAGCAATCAAATGATAAATTTTTCATATGCTTTACTTGGTAGGAAATTTGATATAAAGTATTGCTATGGAAAATTTGGCACAACAAATGACATTACATTAGAGAATATTTTTATATTCAAATGTATAATTTTTAATTGACACATTAATTATAACATTGTATTGGAGGTGTTCTAAAGGATTAAATATGTCATTAAATATTGCGTGAGATCATACTTAAACGACAAGGTAACTAACGAGGACCAAAGTGTGATACACAATCATGCAATATGTCAAGAGAAAATATTGATTGGGTAGAAATATGGCCAAAAAAAAAACTTTGGATATCTGTTTGAAAATTTTATATATTCTAATGATATATTAGAATGTGATAATATATATAAATTAATAATTTAATACAAAACCTTTATACATAAAATTTTGAGAAAATTGTATAATTTATTCTTAAGAATGCATGGATATGAATTTTTACCTCTCATTTTTTATTAATACCCTTTTATTAGTATAGTTATTTGACTAAAAAAGTTATTAAATAAGAGTAAATGGTAAAAATCTTGACTCATGCATTTCAAAGAGATATTTTTCTCATTTCTCCTAAAATTTTGTAATTCTTTGATTTATTTTTTCAAGGATCGGGCCAGAGTGTCATTTGTTTGATAAGGTGAATTTAAGGTTTTGAGAAAATTATAAATTCTAACCCCTTAGTACCTGACTTATAAAAACTACCCCATTTAAAAAACTCTACCCCCCTTCACTAGTTTTAGTCTAAAATGTAGAAATATATTAGCTAATATTAGGGGGTAGAAATAAAAGAGGACTCTATTTCAATGAATATTTTTAAAAATTGGCCATTTAGTTTCATTTTGTTTAACCAGTTATACTTACTTGTTTTTACCAATATTTAGTATTTTATATGATCCGAAGGTAATTGAAAATTATGATGAGGATTGTTCAGTTCTTTCACTTATATTTCGAGCCTGTTTGGTTTTTTTATTTGAACAGAAATTTAAAATTTTATTAGTGAAAATGTTACAATAAAAAGATTTAAACAACGGTTTAAACTGTGAACCAAACTTGGCATTAATATTCACAAACAGTGTAAAAGCTCACATGTCGGACCAAAATAGTAAATTTCATTGGGGAGAACTTGTCAATTCTTATGAAAAAGATTTGTTTATTTATACACCTTAATAAATTTAGGGCTAGAAATTCATATTTGCGTGTCGTGTTCGGGCCAACACAATTATAACATGATACGATTATAGTAAACACGAATACGACACGATTAATAAATGTGTCAGAAACCCAAACACAAACACGAAACGTTAATAACACGGTTAACACGACACGACACGCGAACACAATTACTAAATAGGCTGTGACGGGTCGACACGAAAAAAACACGTTTACGACCCAACTAGCAAAATTTTTTATATTGTATTCAAAACTAATATTAATTGATTACTTAATATCACTTATAGTTAAAACTTGCCGAGCATATAATAAGAAAAACATAAATCCTTCAATTCTCCATGATAGCCAACACATAAAAATATCTAAATATCAAACACACACACACATATATATATATATATATATAGATATGATACTACTAGATTATCATATATATATGTTTCAAAATATGACCAATTACCAAACATCCAAATAAGTTTGAAAACATAACCAAGTACATCTAAATAAGTTTGAAAACATAACCAAACATTTGACTGTACTTAAACATAAAATAAATATAGAAAAATGTATTCTTTAAGGTTGAATGCCCAACTACGCTCCAAAATTAGTTTTCAGCTGTTTTAACCTATTCATTGATGTTTTTTTATAAATGTCATAAGGTTGAATGTCTTTTTTAATTTTTTTATAAATTTTATATTTTTGTATATGGATTATAAACAGGCGGGCCGTGTTGTGTCGTGTTGGTCCGTTAACGGCCTGTATAACTAAACGGATTAAGCGTGTTAAACGGGCTGACACGAATCTAACTCATTTATTTTCTTGTTATTCGTGTCAGTCCATTAACGACTCAATTAATAATCGTGTTGTCCAAACCCATTTATTTCGTATCGTTTCATCGTGTCGTGTCTGAATTGCCGGCCCTAAATAAATTAACATATAACTATAGACATAATAATAAAAGGAACCAACGTCACATTGTGTAGGTAACCGTAATAGTTGTTTTTATCGTTCCAGAAGTGGTTAAGTAGTGAACCAATCGGCTTCTTTGCCACCATTACCTCCACGGCGTGGCCGCAGCCCATGTCTCGTACTTCCAGCCCTTAAAAAAGGACATCAGTGACGCGCTTAGCAAGCTCTTCTCAATTATATGCCCACTTGGTACTGGTGAGACTTGAGAGAAATAATTTTTGTTCTGAGGTTGTAATATTAGTTTTGGTTGAATGAAATTCCCATATTTATTTCAAGAAACAAAAGCATAAAAGCATGTTATTTTTCGAAGAAAAGTATACAAGCATGTTAAGCAATAAAAAATGAATATATTATTCAGCTATAAAACATTACAGAAACTCAACTAGCAAGTCTTTAAGATCAGTTAAATCATGGACTAGCTGGCGACACATGATACATAACTTTTGAGATACAGCGAATACACAACTACAAATTAGCAAAAACATTTTCAACCTAATTATTAAGGCATTTTTAGCTAAAACTTGACAACTGCTCCCTGTTCTCGACCTTCAAGCTTGTTTATGCATTCACTTCTTCATTGCAGGCCTGTTCGACCGGAAAATCTAGTTCCACAAAATTTATGGTTCTTTGAAAACGTAATAAAATCAGTTCAGGATCATAGGAACCGAGGTAACATACCATATAACAGCTTCTCCTATACGAGTTCCTACATTGCAACTAGCATTCCCATTCAGTTGTCAAGGGTCTGCTTTACATTTGTACTATCCCAGAAGCAAGGCAAAAGTATTGATGTTCTGACTTTTGAGATAACTCTTTAAAGTATCTATTCAAATCTAATTATGATCATATGCATGAATTCCGAATACAAGTACAATCTAAACTTTTTATCCCGTCAAAAATTTAGTTGAAGAATTTCTACCAACATCTTGGACAAGGCATTGTAACTGCCAAGGGAGAAACAATATAGTTGCACAAAGCGACAACGGGTTTTACCTATATTGACTAGGTGATATCTACAACAGAGAAACTAAAGTCCATCTACAACTTTGATCCCAGCACTCTTGTCCCAATCTTCAGGGGGTGCCACATCCGACATAATTTTTTCTTGACCGCGCCAAAGAACCTGCATATGTATGCCCACTTTATGTCGGTCACCACGGATACATCACATAAGAAAACGTACAGGATTAGGCCTTAAAACATACCTTATCAATCACCCCAAATTCTTTAGCCTTTGTAGCATCCATGTAAAATGGTCGTCTCATCACATTAGCTACAGTCTCTTCCGACTAGTAAAAGCGAGCAATAAAATGTACTTATTTTTCCAGTCAAAACTCCTCAAAATTAATTATAGCCAAGCACAACTCGCTATACTTACTATTGGGATTTGGAAATCCCTTTCTAAAATTGATTTGCTACAGAATACTTGTTTTGTAAATTGATTTGCTGCAGGAAATTGTTTTGGGAAGTTTTTGATTTGCAGAAATCTGTTCTAAAGAAAGTCAAATGCTTTTATTTGGTTTCTTATTTTGGAGAACACAACTTTAGCAGGTTATGGAAATTTGGAGATAATTGGAATAAATTTCTGTAATATGAAATTTATATCTTGCTGCATAAAGTGTCCAGATTCGTGGAGCATTGATTTGAGGATTTCAAGATCAGGGAAGTTGATTTGATTGCAGAATCGTACAGCACTGTTGTCTTATTTGTTATAACATAATCATCAACAGATTGTTGACAGCAGATTTGATTGGAAGATTCAGCTATTTAGCTATTTATTTGGAGTCTCATAATGATCACAGGACGCCTTTTAAAGTATTAGTTTTACAGAGTGATAGATCATTTATGAGCAATTTTGCTCCAAGTTTTTTTCAGGAGAAGGAATTAAGGTTTTTGGGAGAAAACTGCGTGAGTTGAAGGGATTTCAACATTAAGTCAAGGGGATCTCACTGAGCAAGTTCATTGGGCAGTAGCAATATCATAGGCATCATACTTAAAGAGGGAGTCTCATGTAGAATAAGTCCATTTGAGATTGTAATCTTCTTTACTTAGTGGATTGTTCAAACGTCTGGACATGGCCCTGCGAATGTAGGTATTTACCGAACCACGATACCATCTCCTTGTGTCCTTTTTCCATTTATTTTCAAGTTTTGATAAATTATAAATCTATCTAATAACAAAACTTGGTAAAAAGAAAAAACCGGTTCTTCCACTTACATTTCCTGTGTGTTTGGCCAGAAGTTTCACAAGAGTATCCCTATTTGTCACTATCTGCAAAAATAAGCAATATTGAATATTATGGTAATGTAAACTATTACTTAATTTGAAAGCACTTAATTAACATCACAAAAGGCTTTGAGTTTGTGTTTTAATCTATTCCATTGTCGAAATGCATAACAAAACATCAGTAAACTTTAGAAGATGATGCACAGGAACTAACCTCTTTTGCACGAATAAGAACATCACTAGCAGGCATCAATCCAGATGATGGCACACGAGGTTGTTGGATCATAGCTGAATGCCAAAATTAAAAAGAGTGATGAGAGAAAGTCCTAATTGCAATTTGCAACAACTAGGAGAGCGAACAACATTATACCTTTGGCATGCGGCATCATAAACCGTTTTCCCTTGGTTCCTGCTAAAAGTAACAGACAAGCTTGCCCTATAGCTGCCCCAACAGCAACTGTATGTATCTAACCAAGCAATAAGAACCATGAAATAAGATGAAAGGTAATTATAAAAATACATAATAAAATAAATAAATAAATAAAAATCGTTGATATTGTAATCATGCTCCGACAAGAATGACTACTTCCCTCAAAAAAGCAGTTAAACTAAGTAATCCATCACACAACCAGCAAATAATAAACAAAAAATAAAAAATCCACAAACACAACAACTTTAGACATCACTAACAGTCATTGCACCGTATGACAACCGCCTCTATGTGCGGTCACTGTTGCCAAAGCAGTTATACAACATTTCAACTCAAAATAGCACCAGTGAAACAGCCATCCACGCTATATCCCACAAAACCCATCTCAATCACGCTACCAGCATCAATCACTGCCACTAGAATGGAGAAAATAACGACAAGAAACAAACCTGGAAACAAAATGAAACTCACCTCATTTTTTAACTGCATCATTGCGTCATATATAGCAAATCCCTCTGTCTCCATCCCAACCTAATCAGAAGAATTTCAAACTGATGAAAAATGAGATGACAGGTTAATAAGAGTGAGAACATGAGTAAACTAAAGGATCATTGCTTAAGAAACAAATGAATAAAATGACAAATTATTCCATCTTACTGTTTCACCATCATCACGAGTTGTTCCTGTAGAGTTTATATAAATATATATTGGTTCTTTAGGATCCATCCATTGCAGATACATCAATTCCGCCACAACAAGTTCCGTGACAGCTGGCACTAACTGTTGCACACATTGAAAGATCAAGGAACCAAGACGACTTAATAACACGATAAATTAACTTCAGATTACAAAACAAAACCATGGTTGTAAAACTCCGGAACAGACCAATCATTTTTAGGAGTGCATGACAGTTCATGATCCATTTATATGCTAAATGAAATTATTCTACACTATAAAGAGGACTGGGATAAAAGCTGTTGGCCGCGTGTAAATTCTTTCAAGGTAAGTGACGGCCTAATTCGACCTTCTTTTTTAATCTGATCCCAAAAAAAACAAAAATGAAATGAAATCATGTACGCATACTGCAATATTGATGCAAAGAAAAGACAAGTGATAAAATCTTTGAAGGAATAAACTCCACTTTCTCTTAATATGCAGATGACAGAATCAAGGAAACATGAGGCGCCAATATGTTATATAATGAATGAGTTGACAAGGATAGAAGTTTGGACATTCTCCACAAGTCAAGGGCTAAACAGTAAAATTTTCCGGATGCTTTATTGTTGTCGTGTTTCATGTTATGGGGCCTTAGGGAAGCTAAAGAATCAAAAATTATATTTGACGAAGAGCATGTCCAATTTCTCAGCATCACGCATAACAGAGCTTCTATTATACAAGATTGTTACAACTTACAATTACCTCACACTTCATTAGCTCCCTAACAAACTCTACAAATAGTAAAATTTTAGGATAGCAAGAAACAACTTGAAACAACATCAATTTTCAGGAACTTACAGGCATCCCAATGTAAACAATTCTTCCATGGAGCAGCAATGACGGTAAATCCGGGGGTGGCGTACTCGGCCTCTGATCGTTGTATGAAACCGATCTCTCTACCTGTTTCAGGCAGGGGATATCATCACTTTACCAAATAGGCACCAAAATTATATTTAAAAAAAAAATTACAAACGACATCGAGTAGCCTATTGTACCAAGGAAAGCATTAAAATTTGAGACTTGTCTTCTCAAGCATAATCTTGAAACTTTGTTCTTACGAGAATGAACTCTAAACAACTAAAATATGCCTGTTTTTCGCTTTTCTTTGCCCAACTAATAATACCATTCCCAAACGTAATAATATCGTTTTTTCAACAAAAATTGAGGTATATGCTGAAACAAAGAATTAATTAATCCGTAATTACAACGAGAAATAAAGGGGTTGTTCTTTTGCAACAAAACTCAGAAAAAATTTAAACTCGAGTTACAACTTTATTTAAGTTCATATTCTTTGATAAAATTCGAGTTTGAACTCGAGTTTAGGGCTAAATTCGAGTTTGAATTTTCCCTTCAACTCGAGTTCATAAACTCGAACTCAAGTTAATGAACAGTATTTTTTCTATTCTTAGAAATGTCATAATTTTTTCGTTTTAATTCTGATTGAGATGATCTTTTTTCTATGCATTCACAACGAAAAGATAAATAAAACCCCACTCATATATCCTATTAAAATTTTTTATCACCATTGAGTTTTTATAAAAATACTATCTAAATACAAATTTAAATTTTAACATACTCAAACACAAACTCAAAAAAATTCTCAATTCAAATCACAACTCAAATGTGCACATCCAAATACAAACCCAGGTTATAACTCAAACTCAACTCAAAATATTTTTCACCTTGAAACGAACAACCCAAAAAAACGAAGCAAGCATAATTCAAAACAAAACAAAACCCAATAAGCCAAAGAACCCACTATTGCCAATCATAAAACACCATGAAAAAAATAAAAAATAAAAAAAAAATAAAAATAAAAAACATGTCAAACAACTCAGCCATGAGCTTTAACAAACAGGGGTACACAGAAAACTAAATAGAAATACTTGGGCAGGTGTAGCCATGAGCTTTGGAGCGTCAAACAAGTCCAAGTAAGGAGGAGATTCAGAGTTAACGGGTCGGTCGAGAAGTGTCTCAGGCGAAGTTGCAGCCACGGAAGCGAGCTTCGACAAAAAGGGGTCCTTTGGATTTATGGGTGGGACGGGGATTTTGGCTTTGGCTTTGGCATTAAAGGAACAAAAGGTTCTGAAATTTCTTGGGTTTCTGGGTCCGAGAAAAAACGGTGAGGAAGAAGAAGATGATGATGGGAGTGAGTTAGTGATGGGTAGTTGCAGACCCATGACCATTTTTCTGTGTTGATTTTTCCTTTTGGCTGGTCTGGGATTTTCTCGGCGATGAAAATCGAAGAAAATGTGGTGCTCTGGTCACTACGATGGAGAGGAAGGACGTAGAAGTTGGATGACTTGGTGGGTTGGGGTTCGTCCAGATAAATTGGGCCATTCAATTCCCTACAGCCCAAAAGGGCTCTTTAGAGCGATAATCCACTTGATTTTATTTTATTTTTGTTAGGAGGAAACAAAAAACTGTGAAAACCTCACATTACCTCATACCAATACGTTACACATTGTTAAGTTTTTTTTTTAGGACTCAAATCACAATTTAAATTTTTTATTATAGTATTTTTCTTATAAAAATTTGAATTTAAGTTTTTTATTATAATATTTTTTTTATATAAATTTACTTTTCAATTTAAAGTAAATGAAAATAAGGGGATAGAATATCAAATATGCCCCCGATAGTATCATACCAAGATACTGATAGTAACCACCAGTGACCGATAATATCCTGCTATAACACTTCACAGTCGTTAATTGAAGACTACCTTTATTTTATAATAATACTTTACACTCGCCGACTAGAACAACTATTATCTTATCGTGATACTAAACATTTTTGTAATTAACAATACTCAGATCGTTAGTATCATATACTTCAAAAAAATAGAGATAAATACTTATTAAAACGTATGAGTCTAAAATTTTACTTTTTATTATTGATTAATATCTTTTTTAGTTAAATAGTTATATATCAAAAGGGAATTACTTAAGAATAAGAGATAAAAATTCAGATCTATACATTCTAAAAGTAAGTTCAATAATTTTCTCTACAAAAATGTTAGCATTACTTTTTTTGTCACTCTCAACATTCATTACTTGACACGTGAATTTTACTATCTCATTTTTTGTTTAAATAATAATATATTATGTTAATAGAATTCACGTATCAAATAATAAATTTAGAGAATGATAAAAAGACTAAAAGAAAAAAAATAATATTAGCATTTCTCATTTTCTCTATACTTTATCGTGAAAGTAAAAGCTCAACTTGAATATGAATATAAATACTTTATAATACATTATCGTGAAAGCAAAAGCTCAACTTGAATATGAATATAAATACTTAATGTGTATATATACACGTATTTCTCATCTAAATGAATATAAGAATATAACACAAAAAATCGTTCTTCGAAAATCACAAAAAATCTAATGTACAAGGGAAGATCTAGCCAGCATCCTATAGTGTCGTAAAACTGATCGGCTATGTCGCAAAACGGCTTGGCCTCACCACAGATCTTGTTGATTAAAATGATCAGCTTCACTGCATAGTGGCTGTCCTCAATGACATCTTTTAGAGATTTATGGTTTCAAGGTCGGTCGTTCATTATGGCCGACCAAGACTTCGCCCAAAGGAGATCCTCATTCGTAGTTTGGTAGTGTTATAAATTTTTAAAAAAAATTACTTTTAATTGTGCTTAAAAAAAAATAGTTGTTACAAAAAATAGTTAAGTGTTTGATAAGTTATAATTATAGTAGCTGTACTAATTGTAAAATCAGTGTAATAGCATTTGATAAATTATAATGTTAAATTACTGTGAATAGTTAAAAATTATGACTATATTATATTATATATAATCACAATATAATATATATTTATTATTTACCAAGATACTGATAGTAACCACCAGTGACCGATAATATCCTGCTATAACACTTCACAGTCGTTAATTGAAGACTACCTTTATTTTATAATAATACTTTACACTCGCCGACTAGAACAACTATTATCTTATCGTGATACTAAACATTTTTGTAATTAACAATACTCAGATCGTTAGTATCATATACTTCAAAAAAATAGAGATAAATACTTATTAAAACGTATGAGTCTAAAATTTTACTTTTTATTATTGATTAATATCTTTTTTAGTTAAATAGTTATATATCAAAAGGGAATTACTTAAGAATAAGAGATAAAAATTCAGATCTATACATTCTAAAAGTAAGTTCAATAATTTTCTCTACAAAAATGTTAGCATTACTTTTTTTGTCACTCTCAACATTCATTACTTGACACGTGAATTTTACTATCTCATTTTTTGTTTAAATAATAATATATTATGTTAATAGAATTCACGTATCAAATAATAAATTTAGAGAATGATAAAAAGACTAAAAGAAAAAAAATAATATTAGCATTTCTCATTTTCTCTATACTTTATCGTGAAAGTAAAAGCTCAACTTGAATATGAATATAAATACTTTATATATATATATATA